GAATGCCGAAGATGTGGAGGGCTGACAGTGTAATGCAGGAGATTCCAACATGGAGAAATTCAGATGGCTCCGATGAAGAGAAGGCCTTGTTAATACATCTGGATAATTTGAAGCAGTACTAGTTGTTGAGGGTTCTTAAAAGAAAAGCATTAATATTATGAATACTCACCTTAGAAAAAGCAATATACTGTCAAAACAAAACAGTGTTTGTTTCAAGAAAATATACTGTATAATAAATATAGCTTCAATTCAAAACACTGAAGCCTCCCATAAGCCCAATTTAAGATATTCTTTAGCCAAACAAAGTTTCAACTAACTGAAATTTACCTAACCTAGTGTCAAAATATACTTCATTATCAAATACACTTCTAAAAGTACAAGGTTCTTGATTTCCCTTGAACTGGTATTATAAAACGTGCTCAATAAGAAAGAAAAAAAACAATAAAATCTGCTCATGGAAAAATAAAAGCAAAGAAGCTATATAAGAAAGTCATAAAACAAAAAGGTAAGTCCGTCCTTCCAGAAACAACCCCTATTAAATTTGTATATCCTCTAATGGAATACTATTCAGTCAATAAAAAAAAGAATGAAATTTTGCCATTTTGCATCAACATGGACGGACGTGGAGAGTATTAGAAAGTATTATGCTTAGTGAAATAAGTCAGCAAATGGCAAACAGTGTATGATATCACTTACATGAGGAATCTAAAAAACAGAACAAACTAATGAATATTACAAAAAAGAAACAGACTCACAAATACAGAGAACAAACTAGTAGTTACCAGTGGAGAGAGAGAGAAGTGGGTGGGCACCGGACAGGGGAAGGGATAGTAAGAGATACAAACTACTACATACAAATGTATAAGCTACAAGGAAATATTTATTGTACAGCACAGGGAATACAAGTGATATTTTACAATAACGATAAAGGGAGAATAACCTTTAAAAACTGTGAATCACTGTTGTACATCTGAAACATATAATGCTGTAAATCAATTATATCTCAAAAAAATTTGTATATCCTCTCAGACATTCTATATGCATACACATTTTCCCTAATCACATAATCATGCTTATGCATTATGTTCTGTGACTTGTTTTTTTCATTTATCATATAATTTTGTCTCCACATACAGAGCACATTCCATGTGAAGACCACATTCTATTTTATCAGAATGATTTAGCATCATTATTCATGTAACAGTTTTCTCAATATTCTATCAAACATACAAGCACTTATATTTGCAGACTTTGTATTCTTTTTGGATAAATCCATGGTTCTTTAAATATGTAAGAGAAACATGAGGAGAAGTTATTTAAGAAATATGCCTAAGTGACCCACAAAAAATCTGACTCTGTAAGTCTGAAATTGGGCCCATAAAGCAGCCTAAGTACTGCAAGGTATCCTGAGAATCAATGGATAAACAATAATTTGTGGAACTGCCCTGTCATACTGGATCAGAGTACATGCTCACTTTTGCTTATGAGAGATACTGTGTATCCAAAGGTTTTCTGTTAAGCTATACTGCATAAATAGTAAATGACAATGTATATTTCCCCCATGCTCTCCAATACTGGATAATAATTTTTTCTGATTTCTGTCAATCTACTGTGTCCAGTGGCATCATTACTATCTGCATTTATTTAAATGACATATTGAGCACCCTTCCCTATTCATTGGTCATTTATATTTCTTCTGTTAACTGCTCATTGATATAGTTTATCTTGCTAATAAAATTAGTCCAATCTAGTTTCTTTTTGATCAGTAAGATTAGTGTGAAATGATATGAAATATCACAACTAATTTTTTTCACTGTTGTTGAAACCATTATTTTTTTGATGGTGTCTTTTGTAATACAGAAAATAATATGCATTTTAACAGAGAATTCTACCATTCCAAGACTAAGAAATAAAAAATTTTACTCTCTTCTTTTTGGTAGTATTGCTTTTATTTCAATATAATGTTTAATCTTGACTCCATATGGAATCAGTTATGATGAGGTAGTGAGGGAATGATTTAGCTTCATTGTTTTCCAAATGGTTAGTCTGTTTATATTCTAAAATAATCTTCTTAAGTAAGCCATCTTTTCCTCACTGATCGAGAAGCCACCACTACCACATAGTAAATTCTAGGAGGCCTTCCCCAATGATATATATCTATACCAGTACCATAATGTTTTAAATCCTATAGCTTTATAACACATTTAATACCTGTAAAAATTACTCTGACTTTCATCACATTTCCCTTACTCTTTTTCAGGATTTCTCTATTAATTTTCTGGTGTATTTTTAAGAACTTTAGAATCATTTGTCAAGTTTCCAAAAGACTCTCTTCCAGTTAGGCTGGAATAAGTGAGGCCCTAGACTAGCCCTTCTTACTCTAAGTAGCTATAAAAGTGGACAATATATATGAGGTAGTAACTTTCAGACAACAGAAGGACGGACAAGAAAAACTCACAGTGAGCCCTATCACTACCCAGCTGTCTAGGAACATTTCCAGACCTGGCAGAGAGAGTTGGAGTCAAAGCAAAATACAGTAGGCAGAAATCAAAATTAAGGGCATTGAACAGTAGAAAACTACGCAGGAAGGGGCCTCCAGAAGTCTACACAGGAGTGTCCAGAGTGTGGACGGGCTATACACACACAGAGCAAGACCACCTAAGGCTTACCAAATAGCAGCTGCTATGAAATTGAGAAAACAGCTACTAGAAGGTTGATCAGTGCTAGGGGAAAAAAGCAGTGCTGAGGACAGTGAAGTTCCAAGACTGCCAGAATTTAGAGGTCCCATAAACACCTCCTTAAATAACCCTGGCATTCAGCTGAGATACCAGAAGAGCTTTCCCTTGAGACTAAGGGCCATGTCCTAGAACAAGACCTGCTGTAAACCCACCTAAAAAGCCACAGAGGAGACAGGAGTTTGGAGGCTAAATCCCACCACTTTAGGGGACTTAACACACACCTTAGATTTTCCACAGATGCACATGAATAAAACATAAAACTATATAAGAGTTCAAAACGATCATTCAGTAACAACTGCTTGCTGAAACAAGAATCAATACTTCTCAGAGGAAGACAACAGAAGCCAGAATCTCCATCCATATTCTACAAAATAATTTAGTCAAAAATCACTTGAAAAATCACATTTTAAAAAAAGCTTCTATTGCTTCACCATGACACATGATTTCTGGCCTGTGGATGACTGACATATTAAGCAGTGGTTTCCATATTCCAAGCAGAAATAAAGAACAATAGATTTGCCATAATATGAAAAACTAACAGCTAACATCATACCTAATGGTGAAAGACTGATTTTCCTCCAAGACCAGGAATAAGATAAGAATGCCTGCGTTCCCCACTTCTATTTAACACAGGATTGGAAACTCTAGCTAGAGTAATAAGGCAAGAAAAAGAAACTAAATTCATCCAAATTGGAAGGGAAGAAGTAAAATTATGTTTTCAAATGATATATCTTATATGCAGAAATCCCTAAATATTCCACCAAAAAAAAGTGTTAGAATAAACAAATTCGGCAAAGTAGCAGAATACAAAATCAACATACAGGGCTTCCCTGGTGGCGCAGTAGTTGGGAGTCTGCCTGCCAATGCAGGGGACACGGGTTCGTGCCCCGGTCCGGGAAGATCCCACATGCCGCGGAGCAGCTAGGCTCGTGAGCCATAGCTGCTGAGCCTGTGCGTCCGGAGCCTGTGCTCCGCAACGGGAGAGGCCATAACAGTGAGGCCCATGTACCGAAAAAAAAAAAAAAAAAAAAAAAAAAATCAACATACAAAAACCAGTTTTGTTTCTATACACTAACAATGAACAATCTAAAAAGTAAATAAAGAAAATGATTGCATTATTAATAGCTTCAAAAAGAATAAAACACTTAGGAATTAACTAAGGAAGGAAGTGAAAGACTTGCATGATGAAAACTACAAAACACTGCTGAAAGAAATTTAAGAAGATGTAATAAATGGAAAGACATTCCCATGTTCTTAGGTTGGAAGACCTAATGTTGTTAAAATGTCAATACTACCCAAAGTGATCTGCAGATTCAATGCAATTCCTTTAAAAAAACCAATGACTTTTTTTTGACAAAATAGAAAAATCCATCCTAAAGTTCTTATGGAATCTTAAGGGACCACTTATAACCAAGATAATCTTGAAAAAGAACAACATTGGAGATCTCACACTTCCTGATTTCAAAAACTTACTTCCAAACAGTAATCAAAAGTATGCTGCTGGCATAAAGACAGACAGGTAGACCAATGGAAAAGAATAGAGAACCCAGAAATAAACCCTTGCATACATGGTCAAATGATCCTTGACACAGTGCCAAGACCAATCAATGAATGGGGAAAGGACAGTCTCTTCCACAAATAATTTTGGGAAAACTGGATACCAACAGGCAAAAGAAGGAAACTGGACCCTTATCTTATACTATATACAAAAATAAACCCAAACTGTTTTAAAGACCTAACGTAAGACCCCAAACTATAAAACTTATAGGAAAAAAAACAGAGAAAAGCTTCAAGACATTAGTCTCGGCAGTGATTTCTTAGATATGACAGGCAACAAAAGAAAAAAGACATGTGGGACTATATAAAACTTAAAAACTTTTGTGCACTAAGACACAATCAAGAGTAAAAAGGCAACTTACAGAATGGTAGAAAATGTTTGCAAATCATATATATGATAAGGGGTTAATATCTAGAGCACATAAAAGACTCCCATAACTCAACAACAATAACAACAAATCAAATAACCTGATTAAAAACTGGGCAAAGGACTTGAACAGACATTTCTCCAAAGATGATATACAAACAACCAAAAGCATATGAAAAGATGCTCAGCACCACTAATCATCAGAAAAATGCAAATCAAAACCACAGTGAGATACCACTTCACACTCATTAGGACAGCTACTATCAGAAAAAAAGAAAGTAATGTTGGCATGGTTGTGGAGAAGCTAGAAACCTTGTTCACTGCTGAGAGGAAATGTAAAATGGGTGTGGCCATTGTGGAAAACAGTTATGGTGGTTCCTCAAAAAATTAAAAACGGAATTACCATATGACCCAGCAATTCCACTTCTGGGTATATATCCAAAAGAACTGAATGCAGAGTCTCAAAGAGATGTGTACAACCATGTTCCTAACAGCATTATTCACAAGAGCCAAAGGTGGAAGTAACGTTAAGCGTCCATCAACAGATGAATGAATAAATAAATGTGGTAAATACATACAGGGAATGTTCTTCAGTCTTAAAAAGGAAATAAATTCTGATATATGCTACAATAATGTGAACGAACTTTGAAGACATTCTGCTAAGTGAAATAAGTCAGTCACAAAAGATTAAATACTGCATGATTCTACTCATATAAGGTACGTAGTCAAAGTCATAGAGAAACTACAGTGGTGTTTGCCAGGGGCAGGGGGGGAGGGGGAATGGGGAATTAGAATTTAATGTATATGTAATAATTTCTTATCAAGCTTGCTCAAGTTAAGACAGAAACTGGCTGGAGCTTCGAAATCTACTGGTATTGGCATTTAAACCTATTGGCATCTAAAGATTATCATATTTCAATTTCTCTGCAGTCAGGATTCATACACATGCAGGCTGAAATGTTTCTTAGAGTATTAAGTATTCTAACTTTGTAGTATGTTATATCCTAAAAGTGCTTTTTACTTACCCATTCTCTCATCCCTACAGCAGTTTATCCTATAGGATAAAAGTGATAGGACAACTTTCTAGATACTGGCAGACATTTACTAAACCTAGTACATACAGAAGCTATAGAGAAAAAAGAAATCTAGTATGATATACTTCTACTGGAAGGTATGCTGCTAATAGCAATGCCAGTTTTTTATATTTACAGAGCTTCCTTAACCTCCAAATCAGGCCCAATAAAGGACGCATTTTGGGATAATAAGACTAAATAAGGCTACATCATCTACAGATTCACATCAGCCATAAATGCCCAGTTTCTAAAGTACACCTATGATCACACAGTATCAATCAGCCAATGTAGTCTACAACTTCAATCTACTGCTGACTAGCATACTAGATATGCCATTGTGGGGCTCTCAGAGGCCTGAACTCTTACTGAATCAATAAAAATCTAACAGGTACATTATTTGAGGTCCTTCTCACTGATCCATTTCATTACCCTAGCAGAAGAAATCTAGACACCTAATGGCTCGCCATCAAGACAGTCAATACAAGGAGGTACATATAAGCAGACAGTTGCAGACAACAGATCTGAAAGGGGCCACAGATTCTATAACTGTCGTAGTGCATGGTGCTATCTGAAGAATGCCCTATACTCCAGCTCCAGTTACTATTAATACAAAAGTTACAGTGGTAAAATTACTATTTAGTAAACAACACTCAGGACTGTTATATCTAAATTATTTTAAGCTTTTGATAATTTTACACTACTTTAAAAGCAAGTATATCTAAGTTGTTTTTTGTTTTTGTTTTTTTTGTGGTACGTGGGCCTCTCACTGTTGTGGCCTCTCCCGTTGCTGAGCACAGGCTCTGGACAAGCAGGCTCAGCGGCCATGGCTCACGGGCCTAGCCGCTCCGCAGCATGTGGGATCTTCCCAGACCGGGGCACAAACCCGTGTCCCCTGCATCAGCAGGCGGACTCTGAACCACTGCGCCACCAGGAAAGCCCTCTAAGTTGTTTTGAGAATGCACTGTCAAATTTAAGAGTAATGTTTCACAGAGTAAACATAAACTGATTTGCTACATCTAGTAAGATCTATATTCACCATACTGGGGAGTTATCAACAGTACTGTAGTCACACATTATGTGACTGCAACTATTAAATAAATACTTTGAGAAAGGTAGAGGCAGATTGTGAGAAGAGAACTGCCTGGAACTTACAGATTTTAAGATAGGAGCAGGAGTCAGCTCTTAGACAAGACAGAGGGAAAATGCCATCAAGTCTTTGAAGTTAATATCAGAAAGCTGTTCACAATTTGCTTCTAAATAATCAGGGGAGTTAGACTGAGAAGGTAGGTGAATAGATGTGGGAATAAAAAAAACAAAGTCAGCCATAAGCTGGTTGTCTTTGAAGCTGGGTAACAGGTACATGGAGGTTCATTGTACTATCCTCCTTACTTTTGTAGTTTAAAAATTTCCACAATAATTTAAATTTAGAAGTTATTCACAAAGGTGTGTGTAATATACACATAACAGAAAAGCTACCTTACAAACCTAATAACATAATGAATAAAATCCAAGTTGGAATTAAACTTGGCAGACCACTGAATTAATTCCACAATTTCAATGAAAATACAAACAGAAAAGAACTTTACAGATGTAAAATGAGAAACGCCATTAATCTCACACCTGAATTAAATTCTTCAATTTAGTTAATCCCCACAAGCATACTCATTAGGATGCAAAAGAAGGTTTCAGTCACTGTAGATATATGCTGCTGCACACCAGAAGTCTCCAGTCAAAAGAAAGAAAGAAGCTGTGGTCCCATTTGATGTCCAGAAAAGAGAACAATATAGAAGCAGTCACCTTAGAGATCTACCAAATAAAACCTCAAGATGGTTGCTGGTAATATATTAGAAAGAAATCTTGAACAGTACAGATATTAAAACTCCCTAAGTTACTCTAATAAAAATAAGCAAGGATTTGAAGACTAAGCCAAACTGAATATCACTAAGAAAACTTAGATTTGCCATTTCTCCCAAATAAGAATCACTCTTTCAGCCCATTTCACCCTCACTAGTTTTCCCTTCTAAGCAAATCAGGCAGGAAAATAAGTTACTAAGTATACCAAAATTAATAGACACATATCCACATCAATTATTTAGGCAAGACAAGATTTCAGAGTTCAAAAACATTTTTATAATTATAAGTAAGTCAAAACACGTAGTGAAAGAAAAAATATATAAACTGAAAGAAACATATACTTGAGGGATAAAGTGGACTTCATCAAAATTTAAAATTTTGTGCTTCAAAGGACACCATCAAGAAGCCAGAATAGGAGAAAATACTTGCAAATCATATACAGGTAAGGGCTTATATCCAGAATATGTGAAGACCTCTTTCAATTCAACTATAAAAAGACAAATAACCCAGTTAAAAATGGAAAAGGGGGATCTGCATAGCCATTTCTCCAAAGATGTATAAATGGCCAATAAGCATGAAAAGATGCTCATTATTAGTCATCAGGGAGATGCAAATCAACACAATGAGATACCACTTCACGTCTACCAAAACAGGTATAATTTATGTTTTTTTAAAAAAGGAAAATTAGTATTTGTGAGGTTGTAAAGAAATCGCATTCTTCATACACCGCTGGTGGGAAGGTAAGATGGTGTAGCCACTTTAGAAAAACAGTTTTCCCTCAAAATGTAAAATTACCAGATGACCCAGCAATTCTCCTCCTAGGTATATACCCAAGAGAAAACATCCACACAATAACGTGCATAGTAATACTCAAACTGGCACTGTTCATAATACCCAAAAAGTAGAAACAACACAAATGTCCATCAACGGATGAATGGATAAATAAAATGTAGTTTCTCCATTCCATGAGCTATTACCTGGCAATAAAAAGGAAGTTCTGATACATGCTATGACATGAATGAACCTTGAAGACATTATGCTAAGTGAAAGAAGCCAGTTACAAAAGACCACATATTTTATGATTCCATTTATATGAAATGTCCAGTATACAGATTGGTGGTTGCCTAGCGCTGGAGGGGTAGGGATGGGGAGGGACTACTAATGGGTATAGGATTTTGTGGTGATGGGGAGGGAAGGATGGTGATTAAAATGTTCTAAAATTGACTGTGGTGACTGAACAACTCTGTATATACCAAAAACCACTGAACTATACAATTTAAATGGGTGAGTCCTATTGTTATGTGAAGTACATCTCACTAAAGCTGTAAAAAATATATAAAGTGAATTGACAGAGTAATATTCCCAAATATGTCACATTCATGGGTTACACTGAAGCTATTTAATACTTGTAAACCCCACCACAAAAACGCCATAAATGGATCCAAAAAAGCATTTAAAATGCAGGGTCACTCAGTGGTAAGATTAATGAAGTGGTCCAGCTGTGCTAGCTGCAGAGGACGGGAGACAACTGCAGTGACACCATACCCAAGTCCGTGTGCTGTGGGAAGCACTGCCACGCTGCTCCTTTAAGTGCCACGACCTACTCAAAGGGCTTCAACTTTACTTTTTTCAAAACCATTTCTGAGGGTACAGAGGAGAACAAAGATTATCTTGACCAAAGTCACATGACTAACAATTGGTGGTATGAAAATTGAAACCCAAAGTCAAACAGCAGAGCTTGCACTCTCAACTGATACAGTACTTCAGCCTCCCTTAATAAACAAAAAAGCTGATAAATAAAAAAGATTTCTAATTTGAAGGTGATCATCACCCTCCTCCAACATCGTTTCTGTACTACACAATTAGATTTACCATAGCCAGGTAACATAAATATATTTTAAATTAAGGCATGAAAACCTATCATTCACAACAAAATATCCACATTCTATTTTACCTTCTGTATTACTGACTGTTGGCTCAGGAGTGATTCTCCCATCATGAATGTTAGGGTTCTCCTCATCAGCATATATTATATGGTCATCTTCCCTATTTTCCGGCCACTGTGCCACCTCTCTTGTGTCTGTTGAGCAGCTACATACATCTTCACTCTTGTGGAAGTATCTTTGTAGCCATCCTGGCACAATATTCTTAACAGATTCTGTAACCCTGCTGAGAATGCCCTGTTGGGGGGAAAACATGTAAGGCAGTTTTAGAAATTTATCTTTTAAATAAGTACCTATTTACAGAAAGCCATACCAAGCAAAACACAACTGTTTCCAACAAAGTTTCCTAAAATTCAGTTACATGAGTTAATGTTGACGTAATGTATTTTACAAATTCTATACTTTATGAAATTCCTACTTTTTTCTTTCTTTCATATGCATATGTCCATGAGCCAATAATTGTCCCAAATGGCCATACTATTCTAATCTTTAAAAAACTCACAGGTCTTCAACTAAGCAATATAAATTTTAGATTTAGTAATAAGATATGCACTAAAATGTTATAATCCCAGACAAAAGGCATCCATCTTGATCCCAGCATATTAAAAGAATCAATAAATACCTTCAACAGCTTCCTCAAATATTTTATTGCACATTCTTTAAGAAGAAAAATTTAGACAAATAAAAATGAGAATTTTTTAAAAAGGCAATAAGACAACTAATCCAACATAATAAACTCAAGAAGTAATCTAAGATTTTTTTTTGATGGTAAAATTTTGTTATATCAAATGTTGCCTGAAAACCAAGAATTTTATTACAGTAACTTTTAAAGGGAGAAAAAGATGTGGTATAACAACTACCAGCAATATTAACATTCATCATAGAACACTCTTCTCAGCAGTTTAAACATATTATTCAATTTAATCCTCACAATAATTTTATGAAATTGGTTTTAACCGTGCCACTTTACAGATGAAGAGAGACAATGAAGTTAAGTAACTTGCCCAGGTACAAACACAACTGCTGTGGTATATCTAGGATAGAGTAAAAGCACCGACTTCGGGGTTGGCAGGCTGTACTATGATTTACTCTAGGTAAATAAGAATAACACTCTCTCCTACTACTACCTGATAAGAATTATAATGAAGATCAAATGAAGTAATGTGAAAGCACTTCACAATTTACTAAATATTAACAGAAACATACACTGATCATTTTATTACTAATGAGAAAAAAAAATTAGCAGAAACAAGCTGGGGTGAGGTAATCAGTTTTAGGCAACAATTCCCTTCACAGAATAGGATTTCAGAGAGAAAGTCACGGAAGGGAAAGAATGAATCAGCAGGTACAAAAAAAAACCAGTAGAGTTAAGGCAGAAAACATAAACCTTGAAAGCAAACCCAAGACAAAGAGGCCTTGAAAAATTCTGTCAATAGGAAAGATGGAAGACACCTCTGATATAAGCACTTGAATAGTATTTTCCTGATTATCTGAAAAGCTGTAGGTAACAACTGGGAAAAAAGTAATTACTTTTCCTCCAAACAGAAACTTTGAACAGATCTACATTGTGTAAGATCTCTAACAACACATGAAGCCAGCAGTCCTAGAATACTCACTACTGAAAAACACAAATTCACTGTCCCCCTTTTCTATGCCAATGTTACACAGTATTGGTTTCTTTGGAAAGAAAGATTCTATACCTACTCCAAGATTTAACATTTATAAAAACATTCATGTTTATTATTTTGCTAATTATTTATATTTAAATATTTATTTATCCCCTCCCCATATTCCAAGACTTGAAAGTGCTTTCAATACATAACACAGTTTAAATAAGAAAAAAAAGACACACGATACAAAGCGATGTTAAGGCACTATAGCAAAAATTTAGTGTAAAATAAATCTTTCGTAGACTTCCTCTAAGGTGTTTAGCTACTAAAAGTATCAGAGATTCCTGTGATCTCTAGTCACTGAAAGAGGCAAGTACAGAACAACTTAAAATTAGCACTGTACTTAACCAAAGGTCACTTATGTGGCAGCATTAGGTATTGTGCAGAATAATCAGTAAAAATTGAACAGCCAAAATGGATTAAAAAAAAAAAAGCTCCTTCGTTGAAACTCATGAATTTTGCTTGGAGACCTTCTCTTTTCTAAACTAAACTGTAACCAATTTATTTAGTCTCAGCCCAGAGCAGCTTAGTACAAAATTACAGTGAGAGGGCTTCCCTGGTGGCGCAGTGGGTAAGAATCCGCCTGCCAATGCAGGGGACACGGGTTCGAGCCCTGGTCCGGGAAGATCCCACATGCCACGGAGCAACTAGGCCCGTGAACCACAAGTACTGAGCCCATGGGCCACAACTACTGAAGCCCGTGCACCTGGAGCCTGTGCTCTGCAACAAGAGAAGCCACCACAATGAGAAGTCCCCACACCACAGCGAAGGGTAGCCCCCGCTTGCCTCAATTAGAGAAAGCCCGCATGCAGCAACGAAGACCCAATGCAGCCAAAAATAAATAAATAAATAAAATTTAAAAAAAATTACAGTGAGAGAGGAATTACTAATGGCACAATGAATGACAGCATGATGCACTTGACAACAAAATTAAATACAGATGCTAAAACTGACCTGGAACCATTATTAAAAAGAAATATCCCCTTACTTCAATATGCCTCTATAGGGTAAATGACCCTAAAGTCATCAAGAAAAGTTAAATTAAGCTCAGTATACCCTAGTACTAGTGGTTCCCAAGATTTGGTCCCTTCACCATTTATATCTGCATTACCTAAGGCCCAACCCCAGCCCTACTAAATTCAGGAGATAGGGCTCACCTGTTTTCACAAACCTTCCCAAATGAATCTGATGTATGCTATAGTTTGAGAACCACCAATCTAATTAAAGAGATTAGGAAATTAGATACATTTCAGGAAATCACAATACATTTCAGGGAAGAAATCCCTCTACAAGAGGTAAATAAAATTATGTATACTTAAATCTTAATATTCAGTTAGCTGGAAAACATACATGTGGAGCACTAGTCAGACAATAATTAAAATATAATATTAAAATGCTAATTTATGAATCAGAAAAACAAATCTTATAGTGGACCGTGCTGAATACAATGTGGACTAATAACTATTTCCCCAGTGTTTCCCAAACTGTAGCCATGATTTTTACCTGTACTGTTATTTAATGGTTTTCTTTCTAACTATTTATTTTATTTCTCTTAATAAACAGTTTTTCCTACACAGTAAAATCTACCAAATCACAAATTTGATGCTGTACTGGTCTTCACCTGCACTGCCCTGACACCATTCCTGACTGGCTGTCTCAACAAACTGGTTTCTGGATTGGCTCATGAGAGATTCTGGAGGATATTAGATATTAGAGGATGGGAGGAAAGAGAAGTCTTTCTTCCTGTGCTCCCTCTGCTCGAGCGCCCCTTCTCCAAAACTACAGCTCCAGCCAGGTAGCCCTTCCTCCACTCCATTTACACAGTTTCTTCCCTTTATCCATCCAGTCCTAGGGATGGTAGCAGCTTCCCACTGTTGCTAGTCTCTGGGTATCCTGCTATCCTGCATGTATTCCTTTAATCACCACCATATCTTTTTTTTTTTAATTAATTTTATTTATTTTTGGCTGCGTTGGGTCTTCGTTGCTGTGCGCGGGCTTCTCATTGCAGTGGCTTCTCTTGTTGCAGAGCACAGGCTCTAGGCGTGTGGGCTTCAGTAGTTGCAGCACATGTGCTCAGTAGTTGTAGCTCACGGGCTCTAGAGTACAGGCTCAGTAGTTGTGGCTCACAGGCTTAGTTGCTCCGCGGCATGTGGGATCTTCCCAGACCAGGGCTCGAACCCGTGTCCCCTGCCTTGGCAGGTGGATTCTTAACCACTGCACCACCAGGGAAGCCCCCACCACCATATCTTTGAGTAGACTCTTTCTTAAAGATATTTCAGCTGAGCCATCTGGAGAACTGTTTCCTGTTGGGTCCTTAGTGTACTTGTTAAATTTGTTTTCTAATTAACATGAAAAATAAAAAGTCCACGTATCAGATTCATCTTCTTTAGTAACAATGGAACACATATACCACACTTGGGGAAGCACTTACTATCCAAAAGGAGCCTTTTCTTCCATAAGAAAATAACCAACTACCAGATATTAGAAGTTTAAAAAGCTGTTAGGGAAAAGACATCTCCTGATTATGCACAGAACAGTGCAGGCTGAAGATGTGAGGGGCCCTGTCTGTCACATGGACTTGGAGAAGTACTTCCCTGGCGGGCAGTTTTTATGAGTTTCGAAGTACTTCGGCCCTAATGGAAAACTGAGAAAAAGTGAAGGAAGCTAGAAAAGGGGAAAAATAGTTTTCTTACGGAAGAAAAGGCTCCTTTTACAATCACCAAAGAAGGTCTACCTTTTCAAGAGTTACTGATATAATATGCTTCAGGTCTTTACAGGAATGGGGCAAATCAGCTTCCTATATGGACTTAAAGAAAGAATGTTTTGTGATATTAAAAATAAGCAAGCAGGGCTTCCCTGGTGGCACAGTGGTTGAGAGTCCGCCTGCCAATGCAGGGGACACGGGTTCGTGCCCCAGTCCGGGAAGATCCCACATGCCGCGGAGCGGCTGGGCCCGTGAGCCATGGCCGCTGAGCCTGCGCGTCCGGAGCCTGTGCTCCGCGACGGGAGAGGCCACAACAGTGAGAGGCCCGCATACCGCAAAATAAATACATAAATAAATAAGCAAGCAAACCAACCAACCAACCTTGAGGGGGAAAGAGGTACACTGAGTAAAGGTCTACTAAGCAGTGAATTCTCAAATCCTACTTTACCAGAATAGCTTTCTCTCCACTTCCACAGGCTTCAGTGGTAAGCATAACTGCCATCATTATAACTTGATGTTTAAGTTTTCCTACAGAAAATCTTCTCTGATCCTCCAAGTCTAGGACAGTCAGTCACTCACGTGCACCAACAGCACCCTGTACTTCCTACAGGCAATCTGTCATATGGGATGGTAATCACAGTCTATCACCTCCCCTGGAGGATCAGCTCTGTGAAGGTAGGCAACAGGTCTGTACAGTGCACAGATTAGCTGGTGCATGATTTTAATTTTCTACAGCTGCACTAGTCAACCAGCTTTTTATTCCCGCATACGAATATGCTGTGGCCAGTTTCAAAAAAGGACATCAATAATCCTAGAATTCAAAAAAAAAAAAATACATTTGCTTGGTGTAATAGCTTCAACTT